GGTCTCTGATAACTGGTGCCCAACGTGGGGCACTACAAGTCTGCTCAACAATTCTTTTTCAGCTTTAGGGAATTAAGCATAGGACCAGAATTCTTTACAATCCTCAGGGTAAGCAATTATTGAAAGATCTCATTTAACCTTAAAACAACAAATAATAAAACAAAAAGGGGGAATCCAGATAATCCAGATGTCACCACAGATACAACTAGATTTAGCAATTTGTGTTCTAAATTTCTTGAATCCATCTCCCAGATCCTTTATTGCTTCACTGGCAATATTCTTTTTCCTTTTTAGTGGAAGGCAATAGGCCCAGAGTCCTATGGTGTGATTTTCAGACAGGTCAATGAAATGATCTCATGCTGATAACCTGGGTGGAGGAGAGGGGTTTGCTTGTATCTCCTTAGATAATGAAGAAGTGTTAAGGTTGCCATCCTGATGCATGTGACCATCAAGCATGCTGGAGAAGGCCCCAACTTCACTCCCTCCATGGCCTGCTCCTCCAGATGTGAGCCCAGTAACAAAGGGATAACTGAGGAAGATAGCACAAGATGCTAGGATGCTGGTGACACCACAGGGCTGTCCATGTGCCCCTGAAAATATATTCATTGCTATGATGGTTATCATAGCCTGAACTGGATGTACAACCCCCATAACAGGACAGAAGTATTGGGCATAGGCGCCTAATTTACCCTGCTCAGACCAAGCACGTGGGTCATCTTTCCTCCTGAAATCTATCATAAACCAAAAGCTTATCATAGTCAATTGGATACCTGGTCCTTCATCATTGTAAGAGAAGCAGGATAAAGTCTGTCATAAATTATACCTCTCATTTCACTTACCCCTTCCATTGTGAGTAAAACATAGGACAGTATGGTACAATTATTGCCTTCCCAGTGATATCCAAAATCGGCTCTTGCATAATCATGATTAATAAATCCTTTTGACCCTCCGTTCAATCCATAAAAGGGGTGAAGAAATCAATTCCTTTTTTCTCTATTGTCCCTCTCTGTGAAAATCATACTTATTGGAATAATTATGCAAAAGGTGCCCCTCCTCTTGGGACCTTTGCACAGGAAAAAAGGAATGAAAAAATGTCTATGGGCCAATATAATTTTTTTAACTGAGGACCTAGAGGATCCCTACAAGGAGGAGCTAACAATATTTCTGATTGGCATTTTGGAAATAAGTTAACATGTTAGCCATACAGACCCTTCCTGAAGGAGAACTTACCTGGGAGGGTACAGGATTTAGCACACCAACCCCTCGGGTTTTGACTAATGGCCAGCCTGGACCTACACAAATTACTCTTTGGAAACTTATTCAGCCCTATATTGTCACAAAAAACTGGAGAGATCATAATATGTCCCCACTAAGGACACTGTTACTATGGTGTCTGAACAGAGTGACAGCCAAAGAACTTCAATATGTATTCATAATCATTGTTTTTAACAAACCATAGTCTGGAATGAAACTTCCTTTACATGTATAAAACGTACCTTAAGTCATTGCATTCAAGCAGGAGAAGTTACAAAAAGTAGTATTGTCTATGTCTCAACAAACTCAAAATTTTGATGAACAAATACACCATTGGGGTAAATTTTTTTTCTTTTTTGAGACGGGCTCTCGCTATGCAGTTCAGGCTGGCCTTGAGGTCACTTTGTAGCCCAGGCTGGTCTCGAACTCCCAATGATCCTCCCACCTCAGCCTCCCGAGTGCTGAGATTACAGGCGTGAGCCACCACGCCCAGCAGGATAAATTTTCTGATGCCATCCTTCAGATGAATCCTTTTAAATATCTCAAGGCTCATTCACGGTTTTATGTTGCTATACTCATAGTGATTTGTTCATGTTTTTTGGTCTTATTTATTCTTAGTCTGTGGCAGATGAACTCAAGCCAACCAGCATTTAGAAGCTCTGCACCCACAACTCACTCTGATCAAACTCTGCAATTAAACAAAGGTGTTTCAAAATGTTGGGGACCACAAATTATAATTGGAGTCTAGGAGATGTCCAAAGCTCATCCTTGTTTTGCGCTTTGGGTCAGACTGGAATGAGGAAACTCCCCACTCTTTTCCGGTCACAGCAGGAAAGCCTCGGGCTAGTGACTGCTGTGGTCCTCACAGGGCAAGAGAAGACTTGTCGAGGAGGATAACGTGCCAGGGGAAACTACAGTTTCCTCAGTGCCCCTCCCCCATCTCATCCCTGTCCTTGTAAGATGGCTTTGTCCTTCTTCCTAGCCCACTGTAGTCACCACTACTATTCCCAGAAACACCCCCTGCCCTTTACTTGTCCTCAGCTCAGATGTAATGAATAAATACTGAGGTTCTGAGTACCTGTGGCCTTTTGTTCCCTGAAATCCACTAGTCATCCCAGATCCCTGCCAGCAAACCTAATGTGCCTCTTTCTTCTTCTTCACTCAATGCAGCAGAACACTCGCCAGGTGACTGAGGACTCACTGCAGGACTGCCTGATAACTGGCACTGTGGAAGGGTCTCCGATAGAATCTAAGTTGCTAAATTGCCAGACTGGGCTGGAATTTAGGATCTTCCTGCCTCAGCTTCCCAGAGTGCTGGGATTACAGATGTGTGCTACCATATTTAAATTCGATTATCTCATAGTTCCTGTTTCTCAGATGTCAGACCTCTGAATCTTCTGGTTTTTTTTTTTTTCCACATGGCTTTTTTTGTCCTATCATTTGATGTCATCATCAAATTTTTCTTCTTTCATTTATTGTTTTAATTTTCAAGAGCTCTTTTTTATTCTGTGACTGTCCTTTCTCTTTCATGGATGTAATATTATCTTCGGATACTGCAAATAATAAAGATTTTAAAAAGTTTTTTCTCCTTTTCTTCTTAGTAGTTACATCCCCAGCCTCTTCTTAGTATCTTCGATTTTCCTTTTTTCTGTCTTCCTCAAATGTTTCTGTTTTCGTTTAGGAGGCAAATGTTATTGGGCGCTCTGTATGGCACACAGGGAGTGGAACATGATTGGACCTGCTGCTAGGCTGCTCAGGTGCCATACCCTGCCAGCTTCCACCATCCAGTACTCATACCTACTGCCTCTCCACACCACACTTGTTCTGAGTGCCTTTTTCTTGGGTGCTCCATCCTAACGTCTGAGTTTTCGCCCCCATCTCTTTCTTAATTCTGTGCCTACTGCCTGGAAATCTTTCCTTTGTCCTCCTTGTCCTGGGACTGGAGTCTGGAATCAGAGTGCCATGTGCTTGGGTTTTGCTGAGGGCCTTTTTCTTAGTTGCATGCTGTCTTCTCCTTGAATCTTCACATGGTGGAAAGAGGGTTTTCTAGTCTAGATTTTTTTTTTCTTTAGAGGCAGGGTTTCACTATGAAGTTCAGGCTGGCCTTGAACTCACTTTGTAGGCCAAGCTGACCTCAAATTTATAGCAAATCTTCCCTTGCCTCAGCCTCCCCAGTGCTAGGATCACAGGCATGTGCCACCATGCACAGCCCATGCACCAACACACCTGACCATTTCTAGCCTATCTTGTAAGGGGACTAATTAGATTTCCCAAAGCTCTGCTTTCAAGACCATCATCTTCTAGAGGCCCTATTTTCAAATATCTTCCCTGTGGGAATTAGATCTCAATATGTGAATTTTGTGGGGGTGACAAACCTGTGCTTCACTTGTTTCTTAGTGTATACTAGTGTCCCGCAATCACAATGTCACCCTCAGGAAGAGAGGCCATTTCACATACTTTTTGGTGGAACCCATAACTCTCAACCAGCAATAGGCAGTGGCCACTAAAAAAGGTTTATAGGGGCTGGGGATATAACTCAGCGGCAAAGCGCCCACCTGGCAAGCGCAAGGTTGAGTTCGATCCAGTACCCCCAAAAGTTCATGGAACTGCAACCCTTGTACACTGAATGGACTTATTTCTTTCCAAATCCTTCAATGCATCCTGCATCCGCGGGGTCACTTCAATCTGGTAATGCATTTTGAGTGCTCTGTTAAGTGCTTCGTCAGAGATTTTGAAGGAAGTAACAGGACGTTTTCCCTAGAACCGTATTTGAGTTCTTTAATTCCCTGATGGAAGCCTCATAGCCCATCAGCATATACCAAAGCTCTGGTGGAACGGGCATTCAGATGGGTTCGGGATGCATCTTAAGAACTGTAATGTGGTATACTGATAATTGAAATGTGTCAATAATTTACATCCAAAAATAAATCTCATCGGTCTCAAAGTTATTCTGCCATCTTCCATGTGGCTATCAGAATGTGGCTGTATAAGGTGGGATGAAAACTAGAGAAAGGATCAGAACTGCAGATGAGCGTGACCTCCCACGCAGGGAAAGGGCCGGCTCGGTCTGCAGAGCCCATGCCTTCCACGCGCGAGGTGGCGAGCGGGGACAGCGGTGTGCCTGCGGCCACTCCGGCTCGGAAGCGCCACCTTCTCCAGCTTTGCTCTGCACACTGCTGGGCGGCGGAAAAAACGAGAGCGAGCGAGGAGGACCCACTCAGGCTCTCAGGGTCCGTGCCCGCGCTGACGTCCACGGAGGAGGCTCACGGATTGCCTGTACAAGGGAGCGGCTAGAGGGTGCAAGGACTGCCGTCAGTCGGGTGGGGACTTCGGGTGCCAGTCTGTGTCTGCCCGCTCCGCCGCAGACCGAGAAACCACAGCAGGATATCCAGAGTGCCCAGGACAAGCGTGTACCGGCTCCTCGCTACTACTGAACTCCTCAGGAGCTTGTCCGTGGGACAAAAGAGACAACAAGGGCGGTGCCCACTGAATGAAAAAGGACGCTAAGGGACAGCTGGTCTAGTCTCCCCAGCGGTCGCGCGGTTGCCAAGACAATGGCCAGCGTCGTTTCCCGGCGCGTGCGCACCACACACTTCCCCCGACTCAAACCTTCTCCTGGGCGCCTGCGCACAGCGCACCTCTTTCAGCGCCTCTTCGGCCCCGGCCGCCTAGGTTTCACCCCGCCGCCGACGCAAACGGGGGCGGGGCCTCTGGCGGAAAGGCCGGGAGCAGAAGCGGAAGTGAGCGCGGCTGGGCAGGGGCGGGGGTGAGCTGAGGGGGCAGCGGCGGCCCCTATTGAGTGTCTGTGCATCCTAGGTTCGGCAGTCGTGGGCCACTACCTCGCTGCCGCGCCCGAGCTGAGGCCTAGCGGGCCGCCTGTGCTGACCGCGGTGCTCCCTGGAGGTGCGCCCGTTCCGAGTGTCGTCCAGGGTCAGGTCCGTTATTCCTGGCGGTCGCGCCTTCCCGTTCTTTCCGCGCAGGTCCCGCAACGTGTGCCCTCGAGCCGGCGAGCGCCGCTCTGCTGCCCGGCAGATGCTGTCCTCCGAGGCGGTCCTCTCGGGGACGTGCAGTGGGATCCGACGCGCCCCGGGAGGGCGCGGCAGAGGCTGAGGGCTGGGGCCGGCGCGCGCGGGCTGGTGGGGACGCGGGGCCTGTGGCCGTAGAGGCGCGACCGGCAGCCGGGGTGGCGAAGCGCGCGGTACATCCACGGTCAGCCTTTTGTTTTTAACTCTTTTACACTGCGCCCTCATCCACGGTCAGCCTTTTGTTTTTAACTCTTTTACACTGCGCCCTCCCTTTCCCATCTCTGGGCCGTGTTATCAGCCCCCATCTCCACCGGCTCACAGCTCTTTCACGTCCCAGCCTCTCGATTTTCCTATTTCCCCCATCTCTTTGATCTTGTTAGTGTTTCTCTGGTGTTCCCACTCCTTTGCTCATTGCGCTCATCTCATCTGTTGCATTCTTGGAAAGCAACGAAAACCTGGTTGTGTCAAGCCCCTTGATAGTCATCTTGACCCCTTACCTCCCAGGTTTTAAAATTTCTAAGCATCTAAGCTTCCAAACATACTGAAGCTTTGGCCTACTGACAAACCTACAATAACATCTCTGCAGTCACTGGCAGTTTTCAGCGTTCAAATTCTATGTCTGAATTTAGGTATCATTTATGTGCAGATTTACCAAAAGTTCATGAAATCCGATCTTTTAGGTTTCTCGCTTGACCACTGCACTGGAAGCTCATTAGTCTTGTGTTTATAACTTGTGTTTAAAAAACAAAAACAAAAACAAAAAAAACATGCTGCCCCAGATTGTGTATTTCAAGCTATGGGAGTCCTGTCTTTCCATCTTGAGATCGTGTTTTTGTACCATCCTTTCCCTCTCCCAGCTGTGCTTGTTGTAGCAAAGGGAGCTGATCAGGAGGTAATTCAGCCCATTGGGCAGAGCCTTTTAACTTGCTTAAATGTCTGTCTGTTTTTCTCCAGACAGCGTCTCACTATGCACTTAAGGCTGGCCTTGAACTCACTTGTCTTGGTTGTCATTTGACTGTTGAGTGGCCCCACCACTTTGAGAAGAGATTGATGATCAAGATAGTCCACTGAAGGATTTGAAATCATAAAACCACTTTTAGCTAGAGTTATACGTTATGGGAATCTGTTCAAAAGAATTTAATGCAGCCCTTTTTTTGATGGGGTCTCGCTATGCAGTTCAGGCTGGCCTTGAGCTCACTTTGTAGCTCAGGCTGGTCTCGAACTCGCAACGATCCTCCCACCTCACCTTCCCTAGTGCTAGGATTACCGATGTGAGCCACCACACCTGGCTATTGCAGCCTTTCTTTTATTACTTTAAAAATGAGACAGCTGTGCTGCTCCCTTTTCTTTGGGAGGGGTTTTGAGACAAGGTCTCGAGAGTAGTCCAGAGTGGCCTCAAACTCGTGGTGATCCTTCTGGCTCAGACTCTTGAGTGATGCCATTCTCACCAGCACTAGCAGTTATTTTTATAACGCTTAATAAGTATAAATAACTTTGATTCTCTTTCAGACAGCCGTTTTTGTACTATGGGGATTTAAAACGTGACATCTAAAGTTGAAGTTATTTACATAAATGTAAATAAAGTGTTTCTAAATGAGTTTTTTACAAGTAACTTTAAAATCTATCAAATTTGAGAAGTAAATTGCTTGTTTTTTCAAAAAAATTTTAACTTTTTTATGTACATATACATATACATACCTTTTTTCCTTTCAGGTTCTCACACTAATAATGAGACAATGTGGTTTATACATGTGTGTCTTATTTAGCTCACTAATGTGTATGTTCTCAAGTCACATCCATTTACCTATAAAAGTCTCCAGTTTATCCTTCTTTATGGCTGAGTGGTACTCCATTGTATAAAAATACCACATCAGGGCTGGGGATTTAGCTCAGCAGCATGAGCGCCTGCCTTGCAAGTAGGCAGTCATGAGTTCGATCCCTGGTACTGATTTTAAAAAAAACAAAACAAGACATAAAAGTACCACACCTTTTTTATCCATTCCTCAGTTGATGGGCATTTAGATTGTTTCCAAGATTTGGCTATTACAAACTCTGCTGCTATAAACATGGGTGCATGTATATTCCTGTGGTATGATGTTTTTAACTCTTTTGGGAAGATTTCCTGAAGGAGAATAGCTGGAATGAAGAGGACCTCCAATCCTAGTTTTTTGAGGAATCTCCACACTGATTTCCACACTGGTTGCACCAGTCTGCGTTCCCATCAACACTGGAGAAGGGTTCCTTTTTCCCCACAGCCCCCTTCAACGTTTGTTATTGCTTGATTTCTTTTTTTTAATTGCTTGATTTCTTAATAGTAGCCATTCTTTCTGGAGTGAAATGGAATCTCAGTGTTGTTTTACTTTGTATCTTTCAAATGACCAGTGATGTTGAACATTTTTCACATATTTACTTGCCGTTTGTATTTCTTCATCTGAGAAGTGTGTATTCATCTCAGGTGCCCATTTTTGGACTGGGTCTTTAAATTTGGGAGGACTGATTTTTTCGAGTTCTTTATATGTTCTTGATAGTAATCCTTTGTTTTAGGTACAGCTAGCAAACATTTTTCTCCCACGTTGTGAGTTGTCTCCACTATTTTAGTGGTTTCTCTTGCTAAAAACTTTTCAGTAGGGTGAGATTCCAGTTATTGGTTCTTTATGATAGTCTATTTGCAATCTGGGTTTTGTTCATAAAGTCTGCTTACACCACTGTGTTCAAGTTATACCTATGCTATCTTCTAGCAGATTTAATGTTTCTGTTTTAATATTTAAATCTTTGGTCCATTATGATTTTAGCTTAGTACGTAGTGAAAGATGAGCATCCAGTTTTAATCTTGGGCATGTGTAGAGCCAATTTTTCCAGCACCATTTATTAAAGAGGCTGTCTTTCTTCCAGTGAATATGTTTAGCACCTTTGTCAAAGATAATGTGGCTTAGTGTCTGGAGTTGTTTCTGCATCTTCTAATTTGTTCCATTGATCTTTGAGTCTGGTTTGTTGTTGTTGTTGTTTTTTTGGGGGGTTTTTGCCAGTGTCACACTGTATTTATCTCAGGAGTTTTATAGCATAATTTCAAGTCAGGGATTGTGATGCCCCATATTATTTTTGTTGCCTTGGATTGCCTTTCCTATTCTATGTCTCTTCTGGTTCCAGATGAATTTTAGGATTGTTTTTCTAATTCTGTGAGATATGCTATTGGAATTTTGATTGGAATTGCATTGACCCTGTATAAGAGTTTTGGAAGTATGGCCATTTTCACTATATTGGTTCTTCGCAATCAAAAGCATGGGATATCTCTCCATTTTCTCATATCCTCTTCAATTACCTTTTCCAGAGTACTGTAGTTTTCAATGTAGAGGTCTTTTACATCCTTCGTTAGATTGATAGGTGTTTCATTTTGGGGGAAGGCTATTGTAAAAGGTATTGTTTCTCTGATTTCTCAGTGAGTTTATTATTTGTATATACAAAGGCTATTGATTTTGTGTGTGTGTGTGTGTGTGTGTGTGTGTGTGCACCAGGGATCAAACTCACAACCTCATGCTTGGCAGGCAGACGCTTATGGCAGCCCGGCTATTGATTTTTGAGTATTGACTTTGTAACAAGCTGCATTACTGAATTTGCTTATTAAATCTAGAAGTCTTTTGGTGGAGTTTTTGGGGTTTTCTAAGTAGGATATCATGTCATCTGCACATAACAATAGTTTAACATCTTTCTTTCCTATCTTTATTTCTTTTACTTCTTTCTCTTCCAGCTGTAGTTGTAGGACTGTGTTGAATAAAAGTGGAGACATTGAACATCCTTGTTTTGTTCCTAATTTTAGAATGAAAGCTTTCAGTTTTTGTCCATTTAGTATGATGCTGACTTTTGCTTTGTCATAGGTTGTTGCTTTTATCAGATTGAGATAAAGACCATCTATTCCAGTTTTTTGTAGGGTTTTTATCATGAATGGGTGCTGGACTTTGTCAAAAGCTTTTTCTGTATCTGTTGAGATGATCATTTGATTTTTGTGGTTGGCTGTATAATACCATGTGTTACATTTATGGATTTTCATATGTTGAACCATTCCTGTATTCCTAGAATGAATCTCACTTGATTGTGGTGTATAATCTCTTTGACGATTTGCTGCAGTCTGTTTGCCGGTATCTTACGAAGGATTTTTTCATCAGTGTTCTCTAGGGAGATTGGCCTATACTTATCTTTCCTAGTTGGGTCCTTCTCTGGTTTTGGAACCAGAGTAATGCTTCCTCTAGCAATGGATTTGAAAGTATTGATTCCCTTTCAATTTCATTTAAGAGTTTGAGAAGGGTGATGTTACCCTTTCTCTAAATTTTTTGTAGAATTCAGCAATGAATCTGTCAGGGCCTAGGCTTTTCTTTGTTGATAGGTTTTTAATTACATATTTGATTTTATTTGTTGATATTGGGTTATTTAGGATTTTTGTATCTTCTGGATTCAGCTTTGATAATTTATATGTACCTAGGAATCTGTCCATTTCTTCTGTATCATCTTATTAGAATACAAGTTTTCAAAGTAGATGCAGATGATTTTTTGCAGGGCTTGTGATTTCACCCTTTTCATTCTTCACTGCATGGATTTAAGTCTTTTGTTTGTTTGTTTTGTTTAGATAAGGTTGACTAAGGGTTTGTCAATTTTATTTAATCTTTCAAAGAACCAACATTTCAATTCATTGATTATTTGTATATTTTTTTAGTCTCCAGTGTGTTAATTTATGCTCTGTTCTTTATAACTTCCTCCCTTTTAGGAGCTTTTGGCTTAGCCTGCTCTTCTTTTTTTTTTAGAAATTTGAGGTTCAGCATTAAGTTATTTATATGCACTTGCTCTGTTTTCTTGATATGGATATTTACTGCTACAAATTTTCCTAAGACTGCTTTCATTATGTCTCACAAGTTCTGATA